GTGTGGGGTCCCTGCCACGGCAAGCGCAGCAGCAGCCGAGCAGCGAGAGCAGTAGGCCCAGGAGCAGAACGAGCAGTGCGCCCGCACCCATCACGCCCTTGCGCTGGTTGGTCTCTGTGGAGAACACAGACAGGGTCAGCTCGGGTGCGATACCCCCTGCGTTCCTAATGGACGCCCCTCACCCACTCACCCAGGCGGCAGGCACCAGTGACCGGGTCGCACGAGTCCTCGTGGCAGCGGCAGGCCTGGGCGCAATCCACGCCATGGAGCCCGGGCGGGCAAGTCACGTTACAGCTGCGGGGACATGGGGTTAAAGCTGGCCGCAGTCGCTTCCCCCCTGCACTCGGCCCCCCACTGTGGCCAGCCCTTCTGGGGTCCCAAAGCCTGTCTCTCTAGCTCTGTCCTCCGGGGATTGAAGCCCACCCACTCACCTGTGGGCACACACTGGGCGATCAATCTTTGGGAAACGAATGTGTACACACCCTGTGGGAGGGGATTTGGGTGATGGTGGGGGGTGGTCGCAGTGCCCATTTCTGGAGCTGACTAGTGTGGGTGGGAAGAGGGGCTGCCAGAACAGACCCTTGGCTATAAGTAGAGATCTCTGCTCCTTCTACACCAGCTCAGGGTCACCTCAGCTGATCAGGATCTGGCTGGTCGCCAGATCCCACTCAAGCGTCGTCCACACCAGGGCAGGAAACTGCCCCCAAAGAGCCTAGCTGGGGTAAGGGGCCAGGACTGAGGATAGTCCAGCCCAGGGTGCAGAGGTCAGCCTGGGTCCCACCTTGTCAGCTCCTGGGGTACATGTCCCTCAAACTCCTCCAGGTCCCGGGGCACTCACTGGGGTCCGTGGACGCCAGGGCTGCACAGGCAGCGCCCCGACTGGAAGTCGCAGTGGCCACTGCCGCAGTCGGCGCACACGAAGGCGCAATCCTCGCCGTAAGTGCCATTGCTGCACTTGGTCTCACACCTTGAAAGCGGGGAGGGGGCATCAGCAGAAATGGAGGGAAAGGGATTCAAAGCCCACAGTGCCCTGCGCGGAGGGCTTTCGCGAGGTGGGGGAAAACAGGGCTGGGAACTGCAGTGTCTGGGCCGACGCAGGTACGGTTGCTCACCGGTCGCCGATCCAGCCCGCGTTGCAGCGAGTGCACTTGCCGGTGACGTGGTTGCAGGCATGCCCGTCGCGGCACGGCGGGCAGCGGTGACTGCAGCCT